AAGGAGTCAAACAACACGGCTGGGGTAGTGGTGGCTGCTCCCCCTAAAATGGCATGCAGCTCATCATAGAATCGGCATGTTTGGGGCTCTGACCCAGAGAGGCCGTTCGCCCCTCTGGTTTTCTGGTAGGCTTGCCTCAGCTCCTTAGGTTTCACGTGGCACTGCTTCGGATCCCTGTTATGGGCTCTGTCCTTCATGCCCTGGGAGATTTTGACAAAGGTTTTGGCATTTCGAAAACTGGAACTGGAGCACGGATTCCTCTCCCCGTACAGCGATCAGATCCCGTACCTCCCGTTCAGTCCATGCTGGAGCTCTTTTGCGATTCTGGGACTCCATCATGGTCACCTGTGCTGATGAGCTCTGCATGGTCACCTGCAGCTTGCCACGCTGGCCAAACAGGAAATGAGATTCAAAAGTTCGCGGTTCTTTTCCTGTCTACCTGGCCAGTGTATCTGAGTTGAGAGTGCTGTCCAGAGCGGTCACAATGGAGCACTCTGGGATAGCTCCTGGAGGCCAATACCGTCGACTTGTGTCCACGGTACCCCAAATTCGACCCGGCAAGGCCGATTTAAGCACTAATCCACTTGTCAGGGGTGGAGTACGGAAATCGATTTTAAGAGCCCTTTAAGTTGAAATAAAGGACTTCATCGTGTGGACGGGTGCAGGTTTACATCGATTTAACGCTGCTAAATTCGACCAAAAGTCTTAGTGTAGACCAGGGCTGAGAGAGACTGCAGCAGGCTACATTCCAGGATCCCCTCCCTTGCTCTGGTGTGGGGAATGAAGCTGCGATATACAGTGTTGCAGAAAATGTGGACAGCATGGCTGGGGACAGGCTCTACTGTAGACAGCCCTGGAGGGCTACCTGTACTGCGTTGGAGACTGCACCAGTCTCCAGAACAGCTCAGAATCAGAAAGCACTAATGTTGCTTTAAAATACCTTTCTCTTATTTCTCCTTAGTCTGTGAGTTCTGTGCTGTGCCTCTAAGAGTATGTCTACACTGTAGCAGGGAGCGTGTTTGGAAAGGTTCTTGTAAAAGATACTTGAAAGATAACCTATAACAAAAAAGGGGAAGTTATTTGATTGTTAGCTGACATGAGACAGTATGAAAAAAAACTATTTTATTTTGTTTAAAACTATATTATGCTTGTTTAAATCTGTGCTGTGTTTGCATTCCTATTAAGTAATGGTTATAGAGTAAGAACAAAGGCTCATGTCATTTTTACTAAATTAGCAAAAATTGTATCGTCAGAAGAAGATTTTTATATTCAATGTAATGGATGATATAAAATTGTACTGTTGCACTTGAGTTATATTTGAATATTATTTTTGTTGCATTTTTCAGTTACATCATAATCATTATTAAAGTAGGTGCTCTTTTCTAGCATATGGATGAGTCTAAAAATAAAACCATAACAGTGCTCTTTGCCTTTCAAAGGTGAAGAATGGCAGGCTAATGTAAATGGGTTCAAACAATATATATTTTATCGTAATACCATATTCATGAACTTACTTTTATAGGTGACTGACATTTTTTACTTATGTATTTTCGCATATATTAGGAAGCACAGCTACAGCATTTAAAGATAATTGAACGGAAAAACAGTTGGAAACTTGTTTGACTTTGTGGGAGATAAAATGAAAATGTTTATAGCAATAAATGATAGCTTTTAATAGATTTGAGGTTTAACAATGGTAGGTTTAAAATACACAGTAATTCCCTGAAACACTGGCTAAATTAATAAATTACATAAGTATCTAAAATATCGTCTGAAGTACATAAAAGCTGTTATGCAGTCAAACAAAATCAGATGATATTCTGAATGTGTGCTAATTTTAGTAAACATGAGAGGAGAGTAGTATGTTATCACAACTTGATTTTAATATTGGGAATTTGATTTAACATTCAGAAACTATGGAGGAGTTTAAAAAAAGTTTATTACACGTCTGTCAAAAACTATAAAAGTTAATACAGTAAACCAAAGAATAGCAGCAAGGATAAACAGTAAACAAGGAAATCACAAGGGATCTGTAAAGGGAAGGACTAATAGGAATACAAGTGAAAGATAAAACAATAGATTAAAGGGCCAAAAATTAGTTAAGATCAAATAATATAGTCTATATCTCAGAAACAGAATACTTTTCACTTGTGTCTGTGGCAGTAAATTAAGACAATTTCCTTAAAATTAATGAGCCAGATCTTGACCCATGATATGGCCCCTTTGTGTTGCTCCTGCAGCATACAGGGTCTACACAGGTGTACTAAATGAGCATTCCCTCTGTGTGTGAAACTCTGTCTTCCATAGAGTCAACTGTGTTGGCTAGGGGATGTGGCAGAAGTTAGAGGGGGCAATGGCCAGTGAGTTCTAACAATCTCCACTTGGCATAATGGTTCCTACACCAGGGCGGGGACTAGAAGGAGTCGGGTAGTGGATTAACTTTAAGGGAGTGGTGGTACTTATGACCTCTGACAATCAGGCTTCTAATTTAGCTGACATAACTTAGCTAATTTATAGATTTAGGTTTCTACCTTTAGACTTAAAAATTTAGGCCTTTCATCTTTCTAACAATATCTTATAATGAGGAATTTGAAGGCTGTACTTGACATGGTACATGTGAAAAAAAAATGAAATGAATGTTCTACATTGGAAGCTGATACATAGAAGTTAAAAGAAAGACTAGTTACAAAGAAAAAAAGTTGGTAAATGCAATATTTTTACACTTGAAAGAAGTGTGAGAATGCACTTCAGTTAATGTTTGAATACCACTTTGAAAATGTAGAACACAGTATAAATAGCTAAGTGTTATTTTAGCAAATCAGTTTCATAAGATGGCAAAAGGAAAACATACTTGTAAGTGATCACCCTTTAATAAATCCATACTTAGTATCTCTTGCTCCAAGTTATATGTCTTTAGAAATTAATTTAAAATTTACATCCATTTTAAATTAACCTACAAAGGATTTACTTTTTTGTGTTTATTCACAGAAGTGTAATCAGAAATGAAAAGCCACTTAATGGATTCTTTGCACATTTAAGAGATGTTAAGACTTATAGGCCTCTCTGCTCTGTCAAATTTAGAACCTGCAATTTACCACCAGCACAGCTCAAAACCATTGCTATCTCCTGTCATCTGCTCCATTGGTGAATTATGTGTCCCTCATTTGCCAAAGCAAATTGAGACACAGGGGCTTGTCTTAATTAAAATATGTATCATGTCTAAACATGATAGTGGAGAGTTATCTGACAGTACTGGCTATGAATCGCCAGTCAGAGTAGACCAGGGCATGATATGTCCTGTATCATGTTAATGATTTAATTGTCTAGTGAAGGCAAGGTGGTATTACGGGGTAGGAAACCCTGATAACGACAGTATTATTGGAGACTTTTCTAGTTCTGAACTATGAATTATCATGATTTATCATCGAAGTGTAAAGTGGGTCTGGTTCTCCATTGCCTTACACTTTGTGCAGTTATTCGTGCTCGTGCAAAGTTGGTGTAAAATGCTAGAAAATCAGAAAGGTAATGTTTTGTACTCTGATTGCATATGTCGAATGACTATCCAAGGTGCAAAGTCAATATAGAGTCATGCCCAATATCTCTAGTAGATGCTACCAGGGACTAGCGAAATATTCTAGTCTCACTTTTATAAAGGTATCTCACATGCTGTTTCCTATAGTATTGATTATAGTGCTTTTCCAAATAGACTATATGAATTAACTTACATTTTACTACTATATTGTGATTATAAATCATGACTATAGGTGAATTATTGCAGTATAATAATGATCCAGTCGTATAACCAGCTATTGGAGCATATTAATTTAAAAACTGACAATTCATGCAAGTATATGGTACAAAAGCTTTATTGTAATGAAATACCTTTAATAAATGATATTGAAAGCCTGCAGATGGGCTTTTCTCCCATCATCTTCTGTTTCAAAAGTCTTAAAATATTTGAATATTGTGGGATTCAGAAATTTAGTGAGTAAATATTTAGAATGAAAGACTGTTCATCAATTATAGTTTCTAATTTAGCATGTTAGTTACAAACGGAAAATCTGTTTGGTGTAATATACACTGCAATTTATTAAACTAAACTAGAAAGATTTACTTTGTGAAACAGGGATTTTGTTTTTATAAAATGTATTAACTATAAAGAAGAAAACCACAAGTTGTAGGTGTTAGCATTTCGTGGACTAACCTGAAATGCAACTATTGGAAAAATACAGTTGGACTGATGTGTGATTCTTGAGTACTTTCCTATGCTAATTTTCCACTTGAGGCACACCTATCACCAACAACTTACTTGGAATTTTTGACTAATTCTGTGTGACATGATTTATTATTTATCTGTATTGAGGTAGCATCTTGAAGCCATAATCAAGAATTATGTCCTTGTGCTAGGTGCTGTACACATGCATTTGATAAAAAGCATTACCCGTCCCAAAAAGTTTGCAATCTTAGAAGATGACAAAAGCCCAACAGATGGATAAAACAAATGGGGAGGGAAGGGAGGAGTCATCAATATAAACAAGATAGCTGAAGTCATGTTTACAGATAAGATCATCCAAAGATAGGGCTTAGAGAAAAGGAAAGGAAAAAAAGACAGAGCCCTTGAGGACCCCATCAAATGAGACTGAATACAGACTATGGAGTCATGAAAGCCGGGGAAGACAAGTGCTCAAGAAGAGAGGTGTGTCAGTGGTGTCGAAGAAAGCCAAGATATTGAGGAAGATGAAGTGGAGAAAAGACTCTGAGACTTGAACGGTAGGAGGCCATTAAAAATTCTGGTGACAACAGTTTCAGTGGAGTATAGAGGTCAGAAATCAGATTCAAATGGATCTAGAATCAAATTAGAGGAGAGGAGCAGTTGTGGATTAAAGGGAATTGGCACCATGGTTTGAGGGGTTTTTATTGTCAGATTATCCGTTTTATATGATCATAATGTGGTGTACTACTTTATAATTTTAAAATAAATACATTTTTTCTTTTGTCAGCTTCACAGAGCCAATTCTTTGTTGAGTCAAGTACAACAGCCATACAAGTACCTCATTGAGTCTGTACAACAGAGAGATTCTCAGATACATTTACAGAAAGAACATATTGCACAACTTCAGAAAGATGTCAGGTAAATACCAAAAAATGTTGTGTATGTCATTTTTATATTTATCTGCATCCCAACTTAGAAGATAATATTACTGTCATAACATTTGAGACTTTGCCACTGCATCATTCTCTAAAACAGTTTTACATACTGCAGTTCTTGCATCCAGGTTTTTCCTGTCTCACAGAGCTGGAGAGAGGCAATAGGGAAAGAGTTGGATTTAAAGAGGAGCTTGGAGTTGGGGAGAGATGGTGGGAAGAAAAGGAAGATCATGGGAGCATAGAGGAACAAACCAGACTTCATATGGAATCAGGGAAATAGTTTGGAGCCAGAGAGAGATTATATGATGGAGCTGTCCTTTGAGCTGGGAGGGGTGTAATTCTGAGGCATAAATAAAAGACAAGTCCCAGAGTTCATTTCTGAAGCAAAGTTAAAATTTTAACTATCCAGTAGTTATATAGTAACTATTTAAGAGATGCATACATTCACACCACTGTGAAACAACCACTGTCAATAAAAGTCTTCCCCTTCAGACTATACAGCACTGGGAATGCAGAACTGGGACTTGGCTATAGTGGCAGCATACCTCTTTAGATGACAGGGAATGAATATGTATCCACACATGGATGGTTGTTTGATTTGGAGGAATCTCTGGAAAGAAAGTACAGTTGAGTGGAATGCATGTGTATAACCACTTGAAGAGGAACCATCTGTTTCAAACGCTAGATATGCAGATAAACTGGATAGAAAACCACCCCAGATGTCCCCAATGAAAGGTGATATCCCACAGCTTTCATTGGGGATATCTCTGATTCAATAGAAGTCAATATTTTCCTTCCAGAGGAAAGCGTTTTTTTGACGTTTTCCCAAGCTCCTCTTGAAACAGAAACCTCAAAAGTTAATGCACTTTTTTGACAAACCTCATCACCTCTTTCACATATGTGACATTTTATGCGCAAATGTAGATGAAACCATTAAAAACTGGGTGTGACTTCATACCCAGCATGAATGCATTTTTGACTCTTGTTCTGAAAGTTCAAAAGTCTCTCAAGTGGTGGATATAAAAGGGCAATTTGCTTAAGGGAGTCTTTTTCAATCTGCATCTCTATCACCAATAGTTATCATAGATGCCTCCAATCTTGGTTGAGGAGCTCATTTCTGATATTCCTTGACTGAAAACTAAATAAATGTGTTAAAACTTAATTCATTGGCTGATGGGTGTTTGTGGGGTCCCAGTTGTAGGGATTTGGGACCTAAGGTAATTGTCCTCAACCAGATTAGAAAGAAACCACTAGCAGTGATGAAAGTTTGGCCATGTGAGCCCAAGATTTAGAGCCTTTTCCAGCTGGGATGCAGAAATGATTGGCATGTTGGATGCTGTGATTTGGAGTGCCAAGTCAGCACTTTTGTTAATGATAATGAAGAAAGATAAGCTCCTTCCCAAAATTGACCTTGGAAGGCTTCCTGCTCTCTGATATTTTTTGGTATATTTTTTACTATTATGCATGTTAATAAAGTTGTCTCTGATAGCTCCACTTTTCCACTAATTTAATTTGTGTGTATCTTATCTGCTATATTTGCAGTAGTGTACATTTTTTCCCCTTTACTCCAACAATGGATGAACACCAAGAAAAAAGCTGTTCCTAATCTGGAAATTGGCACTTTCTGACAATTCTGTATTCACAGTACTGACTGAAGACTGAGGTCTGGTCTACACTAGAGTTAGGTCAACATAACCATAAGGCAGTTTACGTCAACGTAACTATGTAAGCGTCTACACTAGAATGGTGCTCCCACCGACGTAAGTCATAGAATCGTCGAAGATTAGGGTTGGAAGAGACTTCAGGAGGTCATCTAGTCCAACCCCCTGCTCAAAGCAGGACCAACCCCAACTAAATCATCCCAGCCAGGGCTTTGTCAAGCCGGGCCTTAAAAACCTCCAAGGATGGAGACTGCATCACCTCCCTAGGTAACCCATTCCAGTATCTACCTTTTTCCAATCGTCCGGGACTACACTAGTCGCCCACCACATCAACCTAATAACTCCATCTCTTCCAAAGGTGTAACACTTAGGTCGATGTAGTTAGGGAAATATATTACTTACATCACGTGTTGGCTGTCAGCCTTGCACAGGGCTCACTACGCAGAGTCCCCCTGCCGGGACTGACAGCCTGGAGCCCTGCTGCCAGCTCCCAGTTAGGGATTGGGCAGGAGTGGAGGGACAGCCTGAGCCTGGCTCCTTCCCGGTGCGGGATTGAGGAACGGGGTCAGGGGAGCCTGAGCCCAGCTGCCTCCTGGTGAGAGATGGGGAGCGGGATTTAATTACTGCAGTGTTTGTAGGTTGACCTAACCTATGTGAACTTAATTTTGTAGACAAACCTTGAGTTAACAAAACAAAATCAAACAGCACAGTTTCATCTTTAAATTTGTTCATAAGCAAAAATTAGAACACTGCTATAGCTTCACTTTATGGAGCAATCATGGTTTGTTGATTCAGAAGGGAAAGAAGCAGTATAACTGGAATATATTTAATTCAGCGGATGAAACTGAACTTCAGACATGAGCTTCTGACTAATAATTAACAGTGAAGTATACTCTTGCACAATATACTGTAAAGGTATACAAGGAACTTCATGTTGTGGTTTCTTTAAGTTAAGTCATGCACAAGAACTCCAACTCTAAAATGTTGGTTTCTGCTGTTTATAAAATACATAAGTCCAAGAAAAACTAAAGTATCACTGAGTAACAAGATATGCATATAGAAAGAACACTGAGTTCAGCAGCTTCAGTATGTGTTAAAAATGACAGAGGATAAAAGTACTGCTTAAATTAAAAATGTATAATTAAAATAGTTTAAAATATAGTGAGACTTTGAAAACATAGCTTAAGCAGTATGAATCAAGTTGCAGGACACTTCCTGGGAAAGTAATGACTGCCTGGAAGGAGCTGGTGGCCCTAAAGCGCAATCAAGGGCTATTTACTTGAACAGGTTGTTAATTCCCAGGAAGTACCCAAATCCAAAATCGATGTTGCTGTTCTAAAATGGAAAAAGTCATAGGTATATGGCCATTTTTAAAAAATGTATGATGCAGTTGATTGATCATTTCTATAAAATTTATATCCTGAACATTAAACATTTGGTGTGCTTGCATCATATCTAAATATTCCATTCAGTTTATAATGTGTTTCCTTCTTAGACTGTTTCTGAGTTCATAATCTGTTTTTACTGCTATATGACTAATCATTTTACTGTGGTATTGATTTCAAGTTTAACCTGTTGTGAAGATTATTTGGTTTGGTCATGTGATGCTCACATCAGTCCCCTTTTTCTGAATTCTTGGGACTATGGAAACAAAATTGGGCAAGAACATATACAAATCTTACGGGTCTGTCAATCTGGCATTTATTCCTGGAGTCTGACGCTAAAGCTGAATATGGAAATACATTTAATTAAACTAGAAAAGAACATAAGAATGGCCATACTGAGTCAGACCAAAGGTCCATCCAGCCCAGTATCCTCTCTACCGACAGTGGCCAATGCCAGGTGCCCCAGAGGGAGTGAACCTAACAGGTAATGATCTAGTGATCTCTCTCCTGCCATCCATCTCCACCCTCTGACAAACAGAGGCAAGGACCACCATTCCTTTACCCATCTTGGCTAATAGCTATTAATAGACTTAACTGCCATTAATTTATCCAGTTCTCTTTTAAACCCTGTTATAGTAGCCTTCACAACCTCCTCCAGAGTAGCTGCCTAGAATCAGAATTTGTAGAGAAAAATTGTTTTACAAGTTAATACAATGATGTAAGCTAACAAAAGGAAGGAGAATTAAAGTTAAGCATGACACTGGGTCTTTAATACATCCCATTGTTTCAAAGTTATATGCTTGTTCAAGATAAACCTGAGATTATGGATGCTACCATAGTACTAAATAATATGTGGCAAAAATAATTTTTTTACTACTTCTGCAGAGACCACAAAGCTAAGAGGGTGCAAGTTGGACTCTCATGCATCATCAACAGAATTTATAAAAATCCAATTACATGGCCATCAGTTACACCAGCGCAAATCCAGTGGAGGCAAAAATTACACAGCAGAGATTGAGGATATAACATGGTTTGCCAAACCTTTACTACTGGTGATGATGCATAAGAATGAGAGAACACCTCAGGTTCAGGTTCGAGGGCTAGAAGTAAACAAATCTATTTTTGCTTGTAAAATTGAGATAAATTTATCTAGAAGTTACTGACACAATAAAAATAGAATTCTGTGATGCCAGTGCTAAAGAGAAGAATCACACTTTAAATCAAATCAGGGTTTGTTTTTTTTTACTGTGGTGTTGTATGTAAATGAATCAGTGATCTTCAATTCTGTTATTTGATTAAAGCAAGCATTCACATATACCCGTCTTTTCAGATGCATTAACAACCTACAATTTTTGAATAAAGGATTATTTTATACAATTGCTTGAGCACATTCATTGTTGCCAGTATTTAGCTTTAAAAATGCATGTTTCAACCAGACAAGATTAGAAGAGATTATCTGTTGCTAGTACTGTATTTCTTATCCTCTTTCTACCAGCCTTTTAAATAAAGAAAAGACAGCTTTGCTCCGTGTCAAGAATCAAATGGGAGCAGATTTGGAAAGACTTCTAAATCATCGTGAGGTAATCTTCCTATTTTAGCATAACTTTAGCATGGATGCTTTTCTGCAGTTAAAACTTGGGAAAGTAATATTTTATATTCTATAGATTTTAGAAATCTATAGGCAGTGTGTCAGCTGCGCACTTAGAAAAGGGAGTTCTGGTTTCTACTCCCAACTCTGCCATCTTACTCACTGTGTGATGCTGGGCAATACACTTACTCTTTCTGTCTCTGAGTTTCCTCACTTGTAAAGTAGTTATATTATTACTTACCTGCCTTACATGAGTGTTGTCAGTTTAATTGTTGATAAAGTGCTTTGGGGTTCTTTGATGAAAGATGGTATAAAATGCAACATATTATTTTATACTGTATTTAAGAGTCCATTGTACATTAGTTCTCAAAAATGCCAGTAGCTCACTCTTAGTAAATTTATTGGAAGCATTCTTTTAGGATGCATAACTTTTCTTAGTAAAGATTGCAAAGTTGTGATGCATATGCAGTAAAAATGTGCAAATAGAAAATACACACATTTTATGTAGTATCCTTAATATACAGTATTACACAATGCTTTCATACAGAGATTATTCATTCTGTCATCTAAAATATTGTTACTATAATAGGAACTTTGTAAACATGAGTTTATGGAAGCAGTACTAGGCACCTAAAGGTAAAAGTAGTTCAACAGATTATGAAGAAATACTTTGAACTTTTAAACTAGATTTTTACATTAAGGTAAGTGCCAGAAATTCTCTTATTAAAAGTAAAATTTGTGAGGCAATGATAAATAGACATCTCAGGGCTTCAACTGAGCCAGTGCCTGGAAGGGGGGTGATATCCTTGATGCTGTCCCACTTTCTGTGGATGAATAAACACTGGTCTCATCCATTGCACTTGCTAAACTTGAAACAATACTTGATATGGAATAGGGGTCCCATCTCTGGATTTTTCTGATAGCTCTAAATAGGGAGGTCAATTATCAGCTGGTAGTTTAGTAACAACATACTGCAGATCACAAGCTTTTTTTTTTTTCTTCTTCTTCTTTTTTGGCAGAGGCCCCAGTCCTGCAATGGTGGGGTCCATGCAAATGAACCCCTACACTCATATACAAGTTCCTGTAGTCAGTAGAGCTCTATGCAGATATAAAGATCTGCTTATGTGGAGCTCAATGCAGGAGTGGGCTCAGAAAGCAATCAAAGGCAAAAATAAGCTAATAGCTTAGACTTGGGGTATGAAAAGTTGGCCTGAAATCTGAATGAAATTAAAACTCTCCCTAAAGAAAGATGAGGTTTTAGTAGCAGTAGCAAAATAACTTTTGTGGTAGAAAAGTGCTGTGTTTCCACAGCACTGAATCAGCCATGAGAATTCTAACTGGATTTGAAAAAGGGGAAGAACATGGAGACGACAACTATCACCACCCAACACAGCAACAAGGCAGCATCGTCGTTCTGCTGTTCTGTTCTTCGAGTGATTGCTCATGTGTATTCCACAATAGGTGTGCATACTCGCCACGTGCACCGGTGCCAGAAGTTTTTCCCCTAGTCGTACCGTAGGGGGGAGTGTCCCAGTGACCCCTGGAGTGGCGCCTCCATGGCGTAGTATAAGGGGAGCTGCGCGCTTCCCCCACCCTCTGTTCTGCCAGTGGAGGTGCGTCGGAACTACTCTGCTCCAGCTTTTCTGTAGCTCATCCCCAGAACTTCTTGTTCGTTCAGTGTTAGTACCTGCAGTTAGTTAGCTGTTTAGTTAGTTCAGTTCGTTAGAGCGCCTGGGCCGGGGCATGCCCCGTGCCCCGGTTTTAAGTTGTGCGACACTTGTAGGTAATCTAGTCCAAGGAGTGACCCACATGCGGACTGTCTGTGCTGTTTGGGAGAAGCCCATATCAGCAATCGTTGCAAGATTTGCAAGTGGTTTAAGCCTTGGACCAAGAGAGAAAGGGACTTTAGGCTCCTGGCCATTCTGATGGAGTCAGTGCTGACCCTGACTCTGGCACGCCGTCCAAGCCAGCAGCGGGCACTGCGGTGTCGGTGCCCGGCAACCCTCCAGCATCATCGACCAGTCGGCACCACTCCCCATCCATAGGGCACACCAAGAAAGCCAGAAAGATGCTTCTTCGCAGTGGCACCAAGGTAAACCTGGGACAGAGGCTAGACCCATATTGGGCAGTCCTCGATCCCCACCAGCCTCTAGGCCTCTGACTCATGTAGAGCAGAGTAGCCCGGTCCCTTCAGAGCAGGCCTCCCCGGATGTCCGGATGCCCGCCACTCCAGAGGCCCTGCAGGCAGCCTGGGATGTTACATCCATGCCAGTACCAGGAGCACTGCTGATGTCGGCTCCACAATCCAGGGGCAAGCCGTCGCTGGGATCTCAGCAGTCGCCCCTGGCTCAGTACCGGTCTCGATCCAGGGAATGTTCCCAACACTGTTCTCTACCCAGCGACTGTTGAGGGCAAAGTCCACGTGGATTGTCCTCGACTCCACCAGACTGTCTGGTTGGGTTCCATCTGACCGAGACACTCGGCACTGCTCCACCTCGAGGAGTGAATGCCAACGGGACCGAAGCAGACGTCACCAAAGGTCCTTGTCTCGGAGGGGTTATCACAGCCAGTCACGGCACAGACATAGACGTTGTTCCTGCTCAGAATCCTGCTCCAAGACCCCATCAAGGCGTCACCTCTGCAGTCCTGGGTGTCAATTGCTGGCGTCTCGCCATCTCGGATCTGCCCATCAGAGCCAATCACAGAGCAGCTATTACCGATGGTACTGCTCCTCCATGTCAGGATCGCGGTCCCGTGGTTGGCGTCGCTCCCAGCACCACTGCTCCTCCCGGTCTGGGGACAGCGGCAGGTCGTACATCAGCCCAGCCTCCATTCGTAGTCATTCATCGATGAGCCAGGCCGAACAACCAGCTCCGCCAGTGCCACAGCAGGTGCAGAGGCACCGGGCCCCGTGGCCAGCCCAACGGTACAAGTGGGCACTGTGGCCTCTGACGCAGTCCCCAGTGAGGGCTTGCTTGGTGGCTGGAGCCTCAGAAGGACCATTGGCTTCCATCTCCAGACCTCTGAAGAAGGAGTCGGTGAGACGTACATCCTCGGCACCGTGCCTGGAGACCGACCAGGTGGTGGACCCTCCGGTGCTGGCAGACACCTAGAGTACCGCACTGGCCTCCTCGCCCTCCCCGGATGAGGCGATTACAGGCCCACCCCCTCCATCCCGCAGGAGGACTTTAGGGCCCACCAAGAATTCTTTAAAAGGGTGGCATCAAGCCTCCATCTCCAGTCAGAGGAGATGGAGGAGCCCTCAGACTCCCTGTTTAACATGCTGTCTTCTTCGGCACTGGGCAGGGTAGCCTTGTCTCTCCATGAAGGGGTGGCAGAAATTTCAAATGCCCTGTGGCAAACACCGGCTTTGTTGGCCCTCATCTCTAAGAGGGCAGAACGCAAGTACTTTGTACCCGCCAAAGGGCACAAGTACTTATGCACCTGCCCAGCGCCCAACTCCCTGGTGGTCGAGTCGGTCAACCACAGGGAATGGCAGGGCCGGCCAGCCCTTTACCCAAAAAATAAAGATTCACGGAGGCTGGACTCTTTTGGAAGACAAATGTATTTGTCCTCGAGCTTTCAGTTCCGAGTGGCAAACCACCAGGCTCTCCTGGGCCGGTATGAGTTCAATCTGTGGGGCTCCCTGCCCAGGTTCGAGGATTCCCTTCAGGAGCGCGATAGGAAGGAGTTCAAGGTGCTGGTGGAGGAGGGTACAGCAGCTGCCAGGGCAAGCCTGCAGGTGGCTTCTGATGCGAAAGACACGGCCGCGAGGTCTATGGCCTCTGCTGTGTCCATGAGAAGGGCATCATGGCTCCTGCTCTCCGGGCTGTCCAGTGAGGCACAGACCGCCATGCAGGATCTCCCATTGATGGCAAAGCTCTGTTTGCGGAACAAACACATACAAAGCTGCATGGCACGAAAGACTCCCGCATGACCCTCCAGACCCTGGGTCTCTATGTTCCAGCTCTGGTTAAATCTAAGTTCAAGCCATAGTACCCTCAGGTGGCCCACCCAAAATACGAGACCACCTATGAGAAGTTGTCAAGGTTCCTCCCCCACTCTGAACTCTAGGGTACAGATGTGGGGACCTGCATGAAAACCTCCTAAGCTTACTTTTATCAGCTTAGGTTAAAACTTCCCCAAGGTACAAATTAATTTTATCTGTTGTCCTTGGAATTACCACTGCCACCACCAAACTCTAACTGGGTTTACTGGGAAACGTAGTTTGGACACGTCTTTCCCCCCAAAATCCCCCCAACCCTTGCACCCCACTTCCTGGGAAAGGTTTGGTAAAAATCTTCACCAATTTGCATAGGTGACCACAGACCCAAACCCTTGGATCTGAGAACAATGAAAAAGCATTCAGTTTTCTTACAAGAAGACTTTTAATAGAAATAAAAGTAAATAGGAGTAAAGGAATCACCCCTGTAAAATCAGGATGGTAGCTACCTTACAGGGTAATTAGATTCAAAACATAGAGAATCCCTCTAGGCAAAACCTTAAGTTACAAAAAAAACACACAGACAGAAATAGTCATTCTATTCAGCACAATTCTTTTCTCAGCCATTTAAAGAAATCATAATCTAACGCATACCTAGCTAGATTACTTACTAAAAGTTCTAAGACTCCATTCCTGTTCTATCCCCGGCAAAGCAGCATACTGACAGAGAGACACAGACCCTTTGTTTCTCTCCCTCCTCCCAGCTTTTGAAAGTATCTTGTCTCCTCATTGGTCTCCATTGTCCCCTCCCTGGATCCCGGGGACTAGTACGCTGCCCTCGATCTGCAGTACGCGTACTTCCACATTCATATATTCGAGGGGCACAGATGCTTCCTCTGTTTTGTGGTGGGGCAGAATCAATACCAATTTACGGTCCTCCTGTTTGGCCTATCCACTGCCCCTAGGGTATTTACAAAATGTATGTACTGAATGAGGGAGGCAAACTAGTGACAGAGGATGTGGAAAAAGCTAATGTACTCAATGCTTTT